TGCTGTATGTGTCACTGGAGCCTGAGACTATCATGATGCGTTAGGTACCATGGCTTGGAGCGTCGCCAACTGACAATAACATTCAGGCCTCGCAGTCCGCCCAGTGTGTGGTTGCGTGGAGTGGCTGACTGGTGCTCTGAGAGTCAGGCTGCAATGCCTCCTCAAGTGTACTCTGGTACTCTCATACATATGAGATGCGAGCCACTGAATCCCTTTGATTGTAAAACCCTGGTGCATGTGTTCGGGCAACCCTTCCGTGTACGCGGTAAGCGCAAACCAGTTCATTAGATATGTCAGCATCAGCGTCCATTCCCCACAACAGGCCGTTGACCGGTTCGGACAGTGGCTGGGTCCTGGGAATGTAAATAAGGCGGCAGTTCGACGGCTCAGCGCCTAATTTCCATCATAAAGAGGTTGGCGCGCTTGAAGATGCCAAGGTGCGCTAAAAACCACGTCTTGGAAGATTACGAACTGAAGGGATAACGCGCAGTCAGCCCAGTGTGTGTTTGTGTAGAATGGCTGACTGGCAGACTGAGAGTCAGACGGCAATGGCTCCTTCTTAACGTGGCTTTTATGGCACTTCTACTGACTGAGCTGGGATCCTAGCGAGGTGTGGTGGCCGTGCCAGCCGCCTGTGCCATCTTCCACCTCCAGCCGTCTTGACTTGGTCATCACAGTGTGCCTAGTTGGCGGGGGGAGTGTGTGCACCGCAAGTCTGCTACCCATAAAATCTAATTCACGCCCATTTCACTATCCCTGTGTCACTTTGCTGTGGTGCACACGGTGTGTGTTCGACCATCGATTTCGATGAAGTCCACCAAGTGCACCAACAGGTTGGTACAGAAGGTGACGGTCTCAGAAGTTAGCTTTAGAGTGATAGAGGACATAGTTATCAGCTCTGCACTCTTCACCTTCTCCCGGAGTCTCGAAGACTAAACGGGGTCCGACGTAGGCTGCATTATCAAATGCAAGGCAAAACAAAACACCGCCTAACTTAGTCTTAATTGGCAGTAGACTTTGCGTGGGTACTACTGTACTATCTAACCTCACTCACCCATAGTAGGTGTGAAGACAGACCCAGGGAGGCCGAGACTGATAAGGTTACTACTGTTTCTATTACTACTGACTGTCAATGTAGCCGAGTATTACTAGTATCAGTACTATCTCTGACGAATAAATTTGTCAGAAGTCACGCTGGTTTGAAGTTACCGCTGGGGCTCATACCCCCTTGCCTCAACAGGGAGTGTAAATCTGCGTTTAAACTATTTCGAGTAAGTACATACTTGAGGTCCTGAGCACAGGAGCGTTTGCCTTAGTTTTCACAATCTCAACTCTATCCATCGAGCTTGTACGGACTAAGATACTGCTGCTATAGGTACGTGCCTATACTAAAAGTGCTAATTTCTATTACTCATGCCTGTTAAGGCCAATAAATAGTAAACTATAAATACTGCCTGTGCGTGCTTTTTATAAAGTCGCACCCAGTATGCACTCCCAATCTGTGTGAGGTAATAGTGATTAGCATTTGGATAATAATAGGGCGTTTGTAAAGTAATGTACAAGTCCTACCATGCCCTTATGCCGTGCAGTTTGCCGTCTATAGACTTCAAATAGGCCTATTACACTATCCATCTGTAGCTTGGACTTTACAGAACCTCTGCTCGTATCCCCTTGATCCCAGCAGGGAGTGTGAATGTGGGTTAGAGCTATTCAGAGTAAATAGCCA